AGGTGGATGTATCATCTCATGAGCCAGAGAAGAAGGACACGGCCCTCATTATGTACTATGTGGCCAACACAATTACAGTGGTCCTGATGACTGTGGCAGCAGTGGCCGGTTGCACTCTGTACCGGCTGGAGCAGCGTGAGCATGCAGTAGGCAAGAACCCAACACGCAGCCTGGATGTGGGGCTGTTAATGGGAGCCTCTGTAGGCCAGCTTACTATCTCCTACTTCACCATTGTGGCCGTGCTGGGAATCAGTGTGGGCAGCCTAGTCAACGCCCTCAACCTGGCCTGGAGCGTGCTCACTGTAGTCGAGCTTTGTGCACAGAATGTGTTCATCATTGAAGGCTTGCGGCGAGAACCACACCAGGACACACGCCGTGCCAGCATCTTCTCCAATCTGCTCGCCTTGCAAGCACACGATGAGCGCAGGAGGTCCAGCAACGTGCTCACGCCTCGTGGCTCCATTGCCATCTCGGTCCACAAGCCCCTGCCCTGGAAGAGGAAGCTTCTCAAGGAGATCTCATCGTTTCTGCTGCTTTGCAACATTATTGTGAGTTCCTTTCTTCCTTTCTACAAGAGCATAATACGAGCAATAGTGCTGATCTGAAATCGGCTTCACGTGATCCAGATAGTAGTAAGCAATATAACTTGGCCTCTGTTATTGAATCTACACTCGGCAGACACTTTAATAGGAACACCTGCTCATTTAATGCAATGATCCAATCAGCCAATCATGTTGCAGCGGCACAGTGCATAAAATCATATAGATGAAAGTCGAGACCTTCACAACATACATCAGAATGGGGGAAAATGTAAGCGCTTACACAGAATGGTGCGAAAAACAAAAAACATCCAGTGAGCGGTAGTTCTGCAGACAGAAATGCCTTGTTGATGAGAGAGGAGAATAGCCAGACTGGTATTTGCTGCATGATCTTAAGCATTGTGTCGCTGCCACATGATTTGCTGATTGGATAATTGCCATGAATGAGCATGTATACATGTGTTTGTATTAAAAGTGGCTGGTGAGTATGCACCTAGCAGTTAGAGCAGTTAGCAAGGTGTGTCCCATTCACTGCGACCCAATAACAGACTCTTAGGATGCTCACATATGCAGCGTTTAGTCCATGTGATTCAAACCCTGGTGCATTTACCTCCACGGTGAGAGACATGCGAGAACACAGCAATCACACTTGGGTGCGGACTAAAATAACCAACCAAAAACCGCTCGACTTTATGTGCACACCGACCACAAATTCATCTTTTATTTTGCACCCATTCATTTTCAGTAGGTAATGCACTTAGGGCATTAATACTGTCTAGAGCATTTTGGCTGAGCTATATCTAAACTTTGTCGATTTTACTCACAGCTTTGGATCATACCTGCCTTCGGCGCACGGCCACAGTTTGACAACCCCCTTGGAGCGGATTTCTACCAGTTTAGCATGTGGGTGGCTGTGGTTAACATTGGACTGCCTTTTGGGATCTTTTACCGCATGCACTCAGTAGCCAGTCTTTTTGAGGTGTACCTTACCTCTTGAATCTATAGCCTTAGACAATACCTGTTCATATAACTTTTATTAAACTTTTATAAATAGTTTATAAAAGAATTTTTCTGTAAATGATACAATCTATTTTTTTATGCTTTTTTTTTTTTGTCTTTTAATATTTACTTGGAAACCGAATGAAGAGCTTGTGTAAAGATTTGTGTATCTTAGGTGTAGTGTACAGTACTGTGCAAAAGTCTTAGGCACCCTATTTTTTTTTTAGTACAAACTTGTTATAGATTTTTATGACTTCTACATTATTGATTCAGTACAAAAACATTTTCGATTTCCAAACATTCGTTTTCCAGCACAAACCTAAATGTTACAGAAAAATGTTTGTATGACAGTAAAGAAAGCAGAATATTATGCAAGAGGTCACTTTTCAGACAAAAAACATAATGAAGGCTGCTGGGTTTTGCTGCAAAAATAGAAGCAAGTGCGACAGTCAAAGTCTCCAGAAGAGCTGTGTCTGCTTCTGCAAGATGCTCAGTAACACTTACAGCTCATTTCCTTATAAAACTGCACTACTTGTATCTGAGATTTTTTTTTTTTTAAAGCAAATGATCGTCACACCAAATATTGACTTTGTTTCATTTATTTACTGCATTTGTTTACTGCTCTTTATAGTATTTTTAAACGTAGAAACATTTGATTTCATTATTCTTGAAGGCATCTTTGCGCTACAGCATTTCTTTGCATGTGCCTAAGACTTTTGCACAGTATAGTATATGCAGATGGGTGACAAATTGAAGTCTTTTAGTAAGGTCTTGTGTTAGTTTCAATACACTTCGGCACAGATTCTACAAGTCTCTGGAATTGTACCGGAGGGATGAACACCATTCTTCCAAAGGTTATTCCCTCAGCTGGTGTTTGAGGATGGCGGAGGAAAATGCTGTCCAACACGCTGGTCCAAAATCTCTTATTTAACTGGGCTGAGATATGCTGTTTGTGAAGGCCATAGAATATGATTTACATAAGTTTCAAAGATCATCAAATCACTCAGTGAGCCCTCATGCCCTGAAGAAGTCATTCTGGAAGAGACGACTCCCATCAGGACAGAATTAGCAGCAACCCTTCTGTCTATGGAGACACGTGGACACAAACCATGCCAGCAAAATGCTTCAGGTACATACTGTGTTTTTGTTTTTTTTTTAACCCCTGTATCACCCATCTGTAGGTCCTGATTACGTACAGCTTGAAATATTTGATATAAAAACTTTATGCATGCAAATATTTGTACTTCCAATATGAAAATTGCACTTTACTAACACAATAAAACCAGATTACCTTGCGTGGGTCTTAATTATAATTTCTATTGAAGTCTTCATGCAGAGTGGAATGAAAGAAAAAAAAAGAAAAAAAAAACATAAGCAAACAGATATAGCCTGTTTTATGTTTCCTGTCCCTACCATGAGTAAATGCAATATCTGAGGGGACATGCTGTTAAATTAAAAATGAAATCAAATTAAAGAAACTGATGTACAACCACTTCCTGTGTTTATATTATATGACACACAGCCACACACCAATCTTAACATTCCCATTGCAGTTCCCATCCCTGGTTTTTCCCATACCTGATGACACAACATTCAGATGATTATAAACCACACTAATCACTGGTCACTTCCTTTTTCTGTCCATCACTCTCCTTATTAGTATGTTGTAAAGAGGCCCCAAATGTTTGTTCCCAGGTTTAAAACAAGGAAATTGTGAAGACAAATTGGTGTGACTGACCACGTCACCATGTGACCATGTAACCATGTTTTTCTTTATATTGCGACAAAAATTTTACTTTAAACATTGAGCACAGTATATACACATTAGATCATCTCATTAGCAAATCTGATATGCAGACAAAAATAGTAATATCAGGCCACCATAAATGATTCTCATCAGCACATAGCAAATAATTGGTTTACAGTTGAATACTGGTGAAACATGTAGACAGTTACTGCCTGAAATATTCGCCAGTCTGATAGCGTGTCGTGAAATGTTAACCTGAAAATGAGAGTGAGAGGAATGCGGATATTCTCTGTTAACCACAAGTCACGAGTAGGATTAATGAGACAACCTGCGGAACAAGAAAGCGCGTGTTTTAACAGATAGCTGTAGTTATGCTGCCTTCTAGTGGCATGTGCATGGCAACACAGTCACATTCAATGCTGATGGTCACACTAGCCTACTAACACCACTCTCTACTGGACTACATGCGACCAAATTCATTAGACTTTCAAATATGCTTCCATCAAATATATATATATATATGTTTTTATATACAGCGGCAGTTCATACGGTAGGAAAAACATTCATACATCCACAGTGAGAGATTCTCAATGGTTTAAGCTGCTGGACATTATACGGTCTTATCAAAAGGCAGAGCTATATGTACAAACGTTATCATTTGTACACCAGCCATTCCAAGCGTCCACACATGCCAACTCGGTGAGCCATGAACACTCTTACAGATTTTCCGAGTCACCGAATCCTTTAGGTTTAGACAAAAGCGTCTTTTTCCGTATTACTGGAATAAACCTGTGAGACCTACGACAAAGGGCTACAGCAGTGCGCTGAAATTGAAGACTAAGCTTTAAATGGGTGTTGGAGTGAGAGGAGTGGAGACGGAAGTCACCAACCGGCCCTCTATTTAGTCAGTGACAGGCAGCTCATGGATCCACCCTTCTACATTCTCTGGATCTCAAAGAGACGAACGTCTGTGTCGTACCAGATTGGTGGGTCCACGTTGCTACAATAAAGAAAAGATAAAAGGTCAAACAGCTCACCGTTTCTTCTGAGCTCATTAATCATGTGCCACGATATGCTCTGTAAAACAGAGTTATGTCTGGAATTATAGATAACTATAGGTTGCTTGAGATTTTTTCGCATTGTACGGTGCTTACCGGAGATAGATAACGCCCCACATGTATGTGCGGAACCACATGGCAGTGCCTGCGTTGGCCTGGTATTTTCTGATCAGAATAGGGTGAGGCACAGGCAAAAGCCCCACCAGGGTACCGTGCTGGAGGAATTTCAGGATCTCTGATTCGTCTGTCAAACCCCTGTGAAGAAAAAATATACATACATTAAGAATAAAAAAAAAAAAAAAAAAAAAAAAAAAAAAAAAAAAAAAAAAAAAAAAAAAAAAAAAAAAAAAAAAAAAAAAGAGTAAATATACAGATATCTGTGAGTTTGGACATTTCCATACTTGTCAATGCAGATCTTCTCCACTTGGGGCACCAGGACCTGCAGCAGGCGCATGATGGTTTGTAGAGGGAGCTTGCTCTTCCAGGACAGGACCTGCACCAAACAGAGAGCAGAGTTTGCAGTCAGTCTGTTAAGATGAGTTTGATTAAGAATGCCAACTTCATTATTAAATGAAAGCGGACAGGACATTAAAAAAACCATTAACAAACATGGTCATATCTGCAGTCAATATGCCATTTACATAAGGGGTGGGGGCAGCAGTCATGGCCTAATGGTTAGAGAGTCAGACTTGTAACCCGAAGGTGGTTGTGGGTTCGAGTCTCAGGTCTGGCAGCGACTGTAGGTGGGGGGAGTGAATGACCAGCGCTCTCCTCCACCCTCAATACCATGACTGAGGGGAGACCCTTGAGCAAGGCACCGATCTCCCAACCGCAGCACAAAAGGCTGCCCACTGCTCCGGGTGTGTATTCACGGTGTGTGTATGTGTTCACTACTGTGTGTGTGCGTGCACTTGGATGGGTTAAATGCAGAGCACAAATTCCGAGTATGGGTCACCGTACTTGGCCACACTTCACTTCATAACTGACTACGTTAAAAAGTGGGAGCTAATGCAATATAACAACGTATGGCAAGTTAGTTAGCTTGTTGTGTGCATTAATATAGACTAAGGGAAACAATCGAGTATATGATCATTAAATGTGGTAAATGGTTAACTGTCAGTGTAGTTCTCTTATTCAGGGGTGGACAAATCAGCATGCTGGGTGCCTGTGACAAGCAGATTTCACGTTTGGGCTATTCATTTTTTATCTGTAGTTGCCCAATGGACAAGTATTGCATTGACTTTTTCAAAATAAAACTATTCACTTGGTATGTATGTATGTATAAACATAATGCACTTCCACAGTGGTGCAATGTATGCTGATGCTGTAACTATAGAGCATGCTTCCAAATTAATTAGACTAGTTTTTACTACTCTGGTTAATTAGCGTGTATGGATAGCGGATGATCGTTTCAGAATCAGGAACATGCAGGCATGTGAAACCACTGAAACATAGAGCAAATCACATAGCACAATAAGCAGTCAACACAGTTATTCAACACACAGTTAAACATAGACGCTAGTGAGACTTGAATATTATTCTTTTACGTGAGGCAGAACACTACAGCTCACAGCTGAAACGCTGGCCAACGACTTGCTGACTTTTTGTGAAGGGCATAAACATTATGTGCTATGTTAGAAACTTTGTTAGAAGAGGATAGCAATTATATACACATTGATTAGTCTGTATGAATGCACTTAACTAATATTTTGTTACTTTATCTAGTACATTTTAGCATAGTCAGTTGTGTTTATGAGCAACCAAAACATGTGTCTGGACTTTTACTTGCATGGTCTGCTAGCTAATGAATTTATGATTTCTCCCCACTGTTATTCTTAGCCAGATTTATTTTAAAGCAAACTCTTTCTTTAAAATTCAATTTTGGAATAAAGTGATCTTAATTTGCATTCAGTTATATGCCACAAACAGCAAACCTCCATAACACATAAATACGGCTCCATGTATTACTGCAGACATCGATTTACTTCCTTAGAGCTTGCTTTATGTTTCAAACATGACAGCTACATAGTGACAACTATGAAAGCTACACACCCACTCTGGTGTTGGGACCCAGTACGTGGCGGCCGATGACGCACTTGACAGACGTCTCCTCGCCATTTCTGCCTCTGTGTAGAAGACGTCCTGTTGGGGAACAAACATGAAAGCCAGAATTAATAGCTCTGAATGTTTACTCTTGGTTTGAGCCCTGGGTTTTGCCTGGGAAGACTGTGCTGTTAAAAGGATAAACCAACAGGAAGACCAGAGAGCTGTCTAGCAAAAGCAAGCCATTTTGAAGCTGAGAAAAGAGGGAAAATCGATCAGAGCCATTGCACATGCATTGGGCATAGCCAATACAACAATTTGGAATGTCCTGAAAAAGAAAGAAACCACTGGTGTACTAACAACCAGACATTGAACAACAGCAGTTGATGACAGAAACATTGTGATAGCTGTGCAGAAAAACCCAAACACAACAGTGAGTGACATGACCAACAATCAGATCTCTACCAAAGTGACGCTCACGATCCAAAACATACGAGCTCATCAGTCAAGCATGGTGGAGGTAGTGCCATGGCTTGGGCTTGCAAGGCTTCTTCTGGAACAGGCTCACACTAATCTATGTTGATGATATAACTCACGTTGGTTGCAGCAGATTGAATTCAGAAGTCTGCAGAAACATTCTGTCTGCCAGTTCACAGAGAAATGCATCCAGTCTAATTGGGAGGAAGTTCATCATGCAGCAAGACAATGACCCAAAACACACTGCCAACATAAAGGACTGGGCAAAGGTGATATTTACTTTAAGACTATCTGCTCCAATACTTTTGTTCACCTAATAATTGGGTGGTCCGCCACCGAAGGGGCCATGTTGTTTAACACATTTAGATAAAAATATCAGGAAATGAAATCTGAAATTCTGATCTATCATCTAATATTCGTCTTTTAATCTTAAACCCAAATGTCTTCAGTGTATAAGAAAAAAAAAAGAATTGGCCTTGCTGTTCCAGTACTTTCAGAGGGCACTGTGTCTCATGTGAACATGAGCAAAAGACACATTATTGTCAGAAATGTCCCTACTTCTTATGGTGCCATTTGCAGCACATTTAAATTTGGTTTCAGGTGAGAGGATGCTGATCAGCTTATCCTTTATCCTATATCAGCACGCTCTGCTCAGAATGCTTCCCCTATCTTAACTAGTAATAAATAATGTGTCAAGCTGACACATAATGCCAAAGATGTTTCAACATTTCAACATGAACTAATTCAAGGCATGCTTCCTTCGGTACATGCAGTGACAGAGCAGCACATCTTTTTTTGAACATCACAGGGCAGCTAAAAGCTCTTGAAAGAAAGCGCCAATTGCCCTTTTCTTTAAACATGAGCTCACAGACAGCCATGAATGACTAATGTCAATCAACAGAGGACAGCGTGATGCCATCCTACCCACCTAGAGAGAAGGTCCAATTATGCTCTCTTGGACCCCTAGCCATGGAAGGCTCTGGCATAGTCAGGATTCAAACTAGGGATCTCCTGTCGAGAGAGCAACATATCTCTAAATTTTGACCTAAAGACGTAATTTGTCCTGTATTGAGTTGCCCTAACATTAGTCATTTTCATTATGGTCACCGAAGTGAATTACCTACAGAATTTCCCATCATTCAGTAGAACTAATGAAGGCCCTTGGATAAGTGGTAAAGCGTATTCAAGATTATAACACAAGTCCAATCGGCTTGACATACTTACTAGACATTTCAAAAAGACTTATCGAGAGAATCCTCTCACCTCGTTGTCTCTTCCAGAGTTGGACTCCGTGTCACTGGCCCCACTCAAGACGCCATGTTCCGGTGAGTTAGGAGTTTCCGTCTTTGGCACTGTGACCATGGTACCATCCTCCGATACTTGGGACTTCTCTGTTAGTTTATCAATACCTGAAAATAATATGTATAAAATTCATCCACAATGAAAATGTAATACCATTAATAAATTCTAGGGATAAGAGTTTTTCTTTCCTTCCTTCCTTCGAGTAATGAGTTCCACTGCCATAAAGGAATGGGCAGGTTGTTACCTGGCATGGCCACGAGGCTGGCCTTCAGCGTGCCCGGCTCGGCAGGTACGGCTGGCCGAGAGCCCTCCATGGAAACGGTCTCCTGGGAGTTAGTGCGAGAGATGGCATCGGGAGATTTCCTCTTCTTTTGCAGTGCCTTCTGGATGGATGCAGAGTCAGTGGGCAGGTTGGCAAGCTGGTGAAAGACGTTACGCTTGCGGATGATGGCGTATACCAAGTTGCAGTTGCCTGAGGCATAATGGGCGGTGAAAGAAATGTGTCATAATACTTCGTCATTATCTTTATCATAATTCTTCATCACATTTAAGGGCCAGATTCTAGAATATGCAAATAAAATATCAATATATATATAATAATAACAACTAGAGAGCTTTCCTGATGCTGATACTGAAAAGTTGAGTATCAGCCAAAACCGATACCCATCCGATATGTAAATATTTTAATTAAAACTATGCTTTAAAGGTTTTTAACCGAAGCACTTTAACGTTACATTCTTTCAAGCTAAAAGCACTTACATTTTAAATATAATAAAGTACAAATATAATAAAAGCAATCATAACAAAAGAGATAACAGGTTTTGTTATATGTAAATATTTCCAGTTCCAAAAAACAATTTTCTTTTCCAATTCCAATCTTTGCTATTTGTTACAGAATTTGATATTTAATATGTTTTCTCAGATCTAATCCACTTTTTTTTGCGCCGGTATCATCCTGATACTGATATCAGATACCATCTAATAACAATGCATCTTACCATCAAACTGATACTGGATAATGTTATTAAATGCCTCCAGCAAAAAGAAGACCAAGTGGTGGTTCTGAGCAGCAGAGAACAGGAACCAGTTGGTGGAGAAAGCTTCCAGAAGATGCAGGAGCTTATTGGCTGCCACCATGGACAGACTCTTCAGGTAAGGAGACACTAAACACAATTATTTGGTGATTATACACACAGATGTGAGGCCAGACAAAACCCGCAAAGAAATGAATTTCAAGTAGACCCAGCCATGAATGGTGAATGCACTTACCATTCACTACAATGGTGAGCAGGCAGTCGAAGAGTGGCTGCAGACGCTGATGGCCACTGGTGATGATCTTGTGGAAAACCTGAAGAAGATGTGTTAAATGAGTGCGACAAACTGGACAATTAACCGCTGCTCCTTCCCACTCAAATGTGTTTGCGCATAACAATTCTGGTATCTGACTTCCCTCCTTTTACACTCGCTGGCCAATTTATTAGGAACACCTGTACATTCCTGCAATTATCCAATCAGCCAACCATGTGACAGGTGCGCAAAAAAAATAAATAAATAAAATCATGCAGCTTCAGGTCAAGCAAGATCGTATCAAAACTGGGAAAAATGTGACCTCAGTGACACTGCATGGTTATTTGTGCCAGATGGGCTGGTCTGAGTGTTTCAGAAACTGCTGAGAACCAATTTTCCCTGCATTCTGATGTTCAATGTGAACATTAACTGAAGCGCTTTACCTGGATCCGCATGATTTTATGCATTATGTTGCTGCCATATGACTGGATGATTGAATAATTGCAAGAATGTACAGGTGCTCCTAATAAAGTGGTTGATAAGTGTATATACCTCGGTGGCTCATGTGCAGCCTACTGATTTATCCCAATCCCACCACTGGAAATCCTTTTCACAATGAAACTATCA